GAACAATACAAGTTTCATACAACAGCATAGTTTGTAATAGCGTTGAACATGTCAAATTTTGTGCCTGGAAACTACGATTTGCGGACAGCATTGATTTTCTGTTACCATTTGAAGAAAACTGCTGCAGAATCGCATCGAATGCTTGTCAAAGCTTTACGGTGAGCATACTCTTGGTAAATCGCAGTGCTTTGAATGGTTTAAAAAATTCAGAAGTGGCAATTTTGACGCGAGGAACGAAGAACGCGGAAGACTACCGAAAAAGTTTCGAGACAGCGAATTGCAAGCATCGTTGGATGAGGATGACGCTCAAACGCAACAACAACTCGCTGATCGATTAAACGTGACACGAGAAGCCGTCTCCATACGCTTGAAAGCCATGGGAAAGATCCAGAAGGTGGGAAAATGGGTTCCACATGAACCGAATGAAAGGCAGCAGGAAAACCGAAAAACCACTTGCGAAATGCTGCTCGCCAGATACAAAAGAAAGTCGTTTCTCCACCGAATTGTGTCTGGCGATGAAAAGTGGATATATTTTGAGAATACTAAGCGTAAAAGATCATGGGTAGCTCCAGGCGAACCATCGACATCGACCACAAGACCAAATCGCTATGGACGGAAGACAATACTCTGTGTTTGGTGGGATCAGAAGGGTGTGATCTACTATGAGCTGTTAAAACCTGGCGAAACCGTTAATACCGAGCGCTACCGGCAACAAACGATCGATTTGAATCAGGCTTTGCGTGAAAAACGACCAGAATATCAAAAAAGGCAGGACAAAGTAATTTTGCTTCGTGATAATGCACCGTTACATCCAGCAAAACCGGTCAAGGAAACGATCGAAGCGTTCAGTTGGGAAATACTTTCGCACGCGGCTTACTTACCAGACTTGGCTCCGTCCGATTACTATTTATTTGCATCGATGGGACACGCAGAGCTGTTAAAACCTGGCGAAACCGTTAATACCGAGCGCTACCGGCAACAAACGATCGATTTGAATCAGGCTTTGCGTGAAAAACGACCAGAATATCAAAAAAGGCAGGACAAAGTAATTTTGCTTCGTGATAATGCACCGTTACATCCAGCAAAACCGGTCAAGGAAACGATCGAAGCGTTCAGTTGGGAAATACTTTCGCACGCGGCTTACTTACCAGACTTGGCTCCGTCCGATTACTATTTATTTGCATCGATGAGACACGCACTTTCTGACCAGCACTTCGCTTCTTACGAAAATGTACGTAAATGGCTCGATGACTGGTTTGCCTCAAAAGAGCGGCAGTTTTTTTGGCGTGGCATCCACCAATTGCCAGACAGGTGGGAAAAATGTATAGCTAGCGATGGGCAATACTTCGAATAAAATATTTTTAATCATTTTCATACGATAAACCATGTATTTTCGATGTATTTACACGTATTTTTTTTTCGTTCATAAACGATGTATTTTCTATGCAACCATTCCGGTTTCATATTTACATACCTGGTAATCCATAATTTACCATTAATTACAGCGATTCTACTTTAACGCGTTCACCCCTCTCCTCGCCAGCTTCCTAATCCCTCAATTTCCTCGTCAAGAAATACTTGAACAATAACTGCACATGGAAGATTCTCAAATCCATTGATTTGTTTCTTTTGCTTCAACCCGCAGACGTTTCAGGCAACGTTTTAGAAATAATTCCATTGAAGGCTCTGTATTTGACAATTGCGGTTTCCTAATCCACTTATCTCATTTTGCGATTCTCTAACCTTGTAATCCGACATGAGCATAGCTGCTCAATATGCTTCCTAAGAACAAAGCTTAATTATTTTAACCTCTGAATGTACATATTTGAAATCCGATTATAGGTACCATGTCTATCAAGAACGGAAGTTAATCCTTCCAATAGGGTCGAAAACCTTTAATTCGCCAAAGTTTACTTTTATTGTACGTGTACAACGACGTCATGAGACGGGTGTTGGACCATGTACAACGGACCAGGGAATCGTATTGGTGTGTCGAAGCATCCTTTGCATCCAACATTCAGGAACTACGGAGCGTTAGATGTACTGTCAAGGGAAGTGTGAACAATTTCGTGCATTGTCGAGACTATAATATGGATGGCTGGCAGGATAATTATTGGAGGCCGTTTGAATCTAACTGTTTCCTTCATTAGCAGTCTCAGTTCGCTCAGCTGTCTCCTTCTTCTCTTCGCTACTCCCTACCTCATCCTATCTCTATCTATCACTTCTTCTCGCGTTCTCTCCCTCTATCTGAATTTTGTGCAGAATTACCCACCATTATCATAATTGCGCTATTACCGATAATATCTGCGACTCAGCTTCGAAACTGTACCTCGATGCTCTTAATCCATTTTCTATTTGGACAGCGGGCTTTCGGTGGACGAGAAGTCGCAAATTCCGTTGCGTAATTTCCGCCCCATTGAGCGTTTCTCTTAGGTATGGAATTATGTGTTTCGCCTAGGGACGTCGTACCGGCGACTGCCAACGCGAAAACGAACCTTTGCCAGCGTTTCCTAGTGCATCGACCAAAAAAAAAGTGTAACTTGTCTAATTTCTGATGGTTGTCGCCTTTCAATATTTCTAAAGGACGAATAAGGTTCACTTAATAAGGTTTATAGTACGCGTGGTGATATAGCGAGATCACAAAATTCATCAGAAATTCCGATAAACACGTTTCGAAAGTGTCAAGATAAGAGAATTAACAAAATGTGAGCAGATAACGAAATCTTGATCGGAATTGTAGGAAGAATCTTTCAGACGGAAATACACAAAGGGATACAGAAAAAATAATGAAATTATAAACAGCATTGTTCAAATCTTATTTCTGTTTATTTTGTTAAATACAGCGTACAGTCCCAAGTGGACTTAAACCTAATACGTCAACTACGGTCGTCTTTGAATGATTTAAATCATAACCTTCTTATACCTTGACCTGTACTACAGTCATTGTCACTAAAAGAGATAATGTACGGTATAACGGTATTAGGAAACGCTTGTGGTTTGTGTTTCCAAAACTGAAACAGCAGTAAACCTGTAGATCTCATTCAGGATTCGACGATATTAGGTTAAAATTGTTGCTTTACTTGTTGCACATATAAAAAAGAACACTTGTAAAAATTTTTACTATATCCTTTGTTACCATAATTTGCAATTAAAAAATAGCAATCGCATTAGGATCGTCAAGATCTTCGACATATCGATCCTTGGCGTTCCTCGCCGGCAATTAGGAAGGACAGCAGGTGGTAAGCTGAACGTGACAGTTTTAGTAGGGTGAAAGGACAGAGGGTTACCTCAATGCCGCAAATAAATCCCGACTCCATTATTGTTTAGTAACGAGGCCGATCAGGGAACGCAGTATATCCGGTGTGACCTGTAACGTTCGTTTAACGTTCTTCGATAATCCATCCTCCTCTAACCATGTTAATTATGTGTCTTACAAATGATTAAAACGTATTAACGAGTAAAAGCTTTTAACTTAGGTATATATTTCTGAAGGATGTTTGAATAGATTTGTGTCAACATATTACGAATTACCTAAAGCAATCATTCGTACAATATAAGTAAAACTAATCTAATTATGACGGTCTTCCTAAATTGCAGCTTAAATATGATTAGGTACGTGCCTTAAAAGAACGTTCGTTTAAAACCTTTCACAATGACTCGTTTTCTTGTTAATCGTTGAAATTTGCGTACACCTCCGCGTAACGTTTCTCTCTCTCTCTCTCTCTCTCTCTCTCTCTCTCTCTCTCTCTCTCTCTCTCTCTCTCTCTCTCTCTCTCTCTCTCTCTCTCTCTCTCTCTCTCTCTCTCTCTCTCTCTCTCTCTCTCTCTCTCTCTCTCTCTCTCTCTCTCTCTCTCTCTCTCTCTCTCTCTCTCTCTCTCTCTCTCTCTCTCTCTCTCTCTCTCTCTCTCTCTCTCTCTCTCTCTCTCTCTCTCTCTCTCTCTCTCTCTCTCTCTCTCTCTCTCTCTCTCTCTCTCTCTCTCTCTCTCTCTCTCTCTCTCTCTCTCTCTCTCTCTCTCTCTCTCTCTCTCTCTCTCTCTCTCTCTCTCTCTCTCTCTCTCTCTCTCTCTCTCTCTCTCTCTCTCTCTCTCTCTCTCTCTCTCTCTCTCTCTCTCTCTCTCTCTCTCTCTCTCTCTCTCTCTCTCTCTCTCTCTCTCTCTCTCTCTCTCTCTCTCTCTCTCTCTCTCTCTCTCTCTCTCTCTCTCTCTCTCTCTCTCTCTCTCTCTCTCTCTCTCTCTCTCTCTCTCTCTCTCTCTCTCTCTCCCTTACCTGTCTCCCTCCACTCGTTACGAAGGTAGAGACGAAATAGGGAAAAAAGAAAATTAATACCTTCCCGATGTCGTGATTGCAACTTATCTCGTTAAATTCCTGTTTCTTCGACGGGGCTGAGAAAGTAACCGTTGGAATACGTAGGCGAGGCATCGGATAGAAAGCAACGGTCGGGCTGGGAGGAGAGTCTAGAAGTGGAATGTAGGTGGGGATGTGGCATAATTACGAATATTAATTGCGTTTCCAACGAGCTGCTGGAACCGGGGGCTGCTGAGTGCAGATGTCAACCTATTATCATCCCTTACCTTACAATGGGAGATCTCGCTTTCTGTGTGTTGCTTTATCCACCTCTCCCCTCCCCTCTACTCATCTTCTTGCCCATCTCTTTCTCGCTCTCGTCGCTTCATAGCTATCCTTGCCTCCTCCCGGTCCCCATCTTTCTCCTTCCCTGTATTCCCTCGGCTGACGATATCACCCCAGCTTTATTGCAAAGTTAACAATGTTACTCGTTCTTGAATAGCTGCGGAGTATCATTATCAACGTGTCATCAGCAGGACGAGGATCGTCTGCTTTTATAAAGTAAGATAGCATGGCGCAGAAAGGAAGCTGGCTAGACCGATGCGGGTTAACGTGCTCTTGCAGGTGTTTCGTTGATTTTTTTTATCGATTATGTTCACCCAACTCGAGCTCTTTTAAAAAAGATACATCTTTTGCGTGGACAAATGTATTTTCAGAAATCGAGATCGATTCTTTCACGACTATACCATGAGAGTAGACAGGAGAAACCTGTTGGATACGATTAAATTGTTAACAAGCTGGTTTCACAGAGAACAAAGGATAATAACGTACAGAATTTTTCGTTCGAGCACCACTCGGATTCGTCATCATCGATGTGACAACGAAAGTACCGGTGTTCTTCTTCGTTAGCTGTTGAATTGGAGTTTCGAGTCCCGAATTCCGATTGTCGGAATCGTTCAGCCCCGACCGGAGGCGTAAGAGCGCGCAGGCTTCGATGTAATGAAATTTCCTGTTCTGATATCCCGTTGGATCCTGTATCGGCGTGACGATTACTAAAAAGACCCCTGATTAATCGTCGGAACTAATTATTTAAGCGATTACACCGTAGACATATCGTTGTTATTCGCATCACGACAAACGGTAAGCCAGGTAATTACATTCTCGGCGATTGGCCACAGAATCACGGCATCTCCTCCTCAACCGAAAGGACAATGGAATAAAATAGTAGCAGAGGGCTTAATTTGCCGTGAGTGCCGGCTATACATCTCCGATCGACGCTGAAGTAAAAAAAAAAAAAAAAGAAAGAAAAAGAGAGAAGGAAAAAGGAAAAAGAGGAAAGGGGTGCTAGTCGAAGAGGGGTGATGGAAGAGGGATGGATTGAACGCAAGGGGTGGAGACAGCCAGAAGGAGGAAGAGAGAACCGTTTAATAAAAGTATGAATATCGCCAATAACTCGTCGCTCGTTCCCGAATAATTTCCACTCTATCGGAAAATAATTATACTTTATCGCGGCGGTCCTGTCTCCTCTTCTTTTCTTCTCCGCACCCCCGTTCAGATCCTTCGCTCCTCTTCTTCTCCCTCGGCGACGTCTCAAATCGCTCAATTATATTTCCTCCTCGTTCCTTCTGGCTATTGTCTC